CGGCAGCAGATTTGGTTTTTTTTTTTTTTTTTTTTTTTTTGGTTATATTGTCTTTCCACGGATCTTTTCATTAGTCTCTGAGCTGTTTTGGTTAGGATTGTGTACATTTCCACATTTTGAATACAACGTGGATATAGAGCAAACAGATAGTTTTAATAGTCCATAGAAAAACCGTAATGCTTTCTAGTTTTTTCCTTGGGGGGAAAATAACTCCTCGTTACTGAATTTTTAGACTTTTATTGTTTAATGTGATGTTGATCCTTTTTCCCTTTCTCCTTGCCTCTAGCTCCTATTCCTCCTTCACTAAAGCCAACCGAGGAGTTAAAGTGTGAGCTTTTTTGGATATGGTTCTGAAATAGCCTATTACAAAATTACCGCTTGTGTGTATTTTCCTCAGCAGCAGCCCCATTTGCCAGCAGGAGATAGGACTGAATCTCTCTTGGATCATCGAGGTGGTGCATCTAACACAGCAGAAACCCAGGTTGATAGCATTGTGGGTAAGTTCCATCTTTGGCTACGAAGAGACAGCTCTGTGAAACTTGGAAGAGGTATCTGAGCATAAATCATTGAGAGGGAAATTGACTTTACATGTGGAGAAAAGAGAAAAATTGATAGTGTACTCAAAATGGATGTGAGCCTTGCAGATGGCTAGCAGAAAAAGAAGGAAGAGTAAGTTCATAACAAATACATGGGCACTATTTTCTCTTTGGTTCTCTTAGCAGGATCTTGATTCAGATCATCTTAGCTAAGACAGAACGAGGTGATGACACAGCTTTATATTTCACCGTGCAACAGTTTTTTCGCAGTATTTAACAATAGTCAGAACTGATGGTGATAAGAATACTAAAACTTTATATTTGTAGCTCCTTTATATCGTTTTAAAACTCTTTTATATCCACTTTTTCATTTGGTAACAAAGTTTGGCAGACAAATTATTTTACAGAGAGGAATTTGAAGCTCAGAGCAATTGAATAACTTGTCCAAGGGCATCTAGCAAGAAGGTCCTAGAATTGGAACTAGAATCCAGTCTGCTGTCCAAAAGCCGGAAAGCCAAAGAACTTAGTTGACAATAACTATAAATGTTATTTTGATAGCCCTACTTTCTCCTTATATCTCAGAGGGCCCACGTGTAGTAGTAATAAAATTTTAAAACTATTTTTTCTGATTGTAAAATAATATGTGTGGAAAACTAAAGTTATTGATTATAGAAACAAAGAAGAAAAAATTACTAGTATTCTCTTCTCCCCCCAGTCTGTTCAGCCTTGTCCTCTTTACAGGATCCTTCTTGTTGACTTTTAAGCCTGCTAAAGTTTGTGCCATTAAAACAAACCATTAACCACACAGAAGGGGGTGGAGAACACAAGAACTAACCTAAAAAACTTTGGAAAACACTATTCCGACTGGATGCTATAAGGCTAAAGTCCAAGAAAAAAACAAAAAAACCTGAACACAAATACTGAACTCTGTTTAATAAATCTGTTTCTCACAGGGGTATGAGTTAACAATTCTAAAATTACTTTATGTGTAGATTAAAGTTGAAAAAATAAATTGTAGATAATGAGGGGCAGTTGCTTACTGTCAGAGAAAGGAGTTACAAATAAGGGGAATGCTGGGATGAACCCTGTGGTACTGGATTGGAATAGAAGATGTTAGCATGTATTTATGGATTTTTAAATAGTCCTACAGTTAGAACAGTGGAAAATAAATATGAATATCTGTATATGCAAGTGTTTCTATAGATACATATATTTTCTAGCTGTATCCGCTGAGAGGGCCTAGAAGCAACATCCCGGTAGCACTGGGCACACCAAGCACTTAGATCTTGGCTTCTAAATACCTTTCTTCAATAAAAGGAACTAGGACTCCTTGGAGAAGTAGTTTATTCCAGCTCTGGGGCAGGAAAATGCAAGATGAGCCTGGAGCATCTCATGATGCCAGAAAGTAAGGAGGTGTTTAAAACTGAATGGTGAGTTGTTGAAAGGGTACCGGAAACAAGCTGAGAGAGCCTCCAATGGCAAAGCTGGAATAATTTGACCAAAGAGATTAATTACACTAATACTGGATTATAATCCATAAAATAAAATAAATATCCATGAGTCTGTGCTTATATAAATAAATAGTTGAATATGTAAATAAATGGGAGAGAAAGGACAGCCCTTCCCTGCAGAAGAATTCCAGTTCATAAATGTAGAAGGAACGAGGGAACTAGAAAGTCACCATTAGGTGAACACCACAGTAACATTGCCACAAGAGCCACTGATGGGGATGCTAAAATTAGTGGGCAAAACTTTGAGGAGAAGCAGGATATTTGCACAATCTAAAAGTATCTCCCCCAAAGTATTTATTTCTTACAAAGGAAAAAATAGTAATTTTACACTGGAGAAGCCTGGCAGACACTGCTTTATCCAAATGATCACGGTTAACATCACCAGTAGTAAGACATATGGACACCGTCTTCCCCTGATGTCATGCACTGAGAAGGGTGCTTCACTTACTTCTGTGGTATTCTAGCCAAAAATGCAGAGCCTCAATCTAATAATAAGGAAACATCGGGTAAACCCACACTGAGGGACTTTATATGAAGCAATTGACCACCACTCTTCAAAATTGTCAAGGTCATAAAAGACTGTCACACTTTGGATGAGACTAAGGAGACTTGACAGCCAAATGCTGTGTAGGATCCTGGATTGAATCCTGGAACAGAAGAGGAACATGAGTGGAAAAACCAATGAAGTCTGACTAAAGTCTGTGGTTTATTAATAGCATTGTACCAGGATTAATTTATTGATGTTTATCATTGTATCATGGTTATATAAGATGTTAATACTAGGAGAAGGTGGGTAAAGGGTATATGGGAACTCTCTATACTATTTTTTGTAATTTTTTTTTTTTTTTGGTGAGACTAAAATGATTTCAAAATAACAAGTTAAAAAAAGCAAAAACAAACCGACAAAAAACAAACACTTCCTCCACCCTGCATCTCCCTCTTTATTTCTTTAACTCTACTTATTTCCATTCCTCGCGTCCCATTCACTCCTCATCTCACTCCCATCTGGCTTTTGTCCCCATTATGCCACTAAAACAGCTCTTAGCTAAGGCCACCAATGACCCCTGTGCCTCTACATCTGACAGATATTTTCCAGTCCTCTTCTGACTTAACCTCTCGGCAGCATTCATCATTATGGATCATTCCCTAATTATTTTAGACATTATTTTCTCTTAACTCATCCAGCACAACTTCTCCTGGTTTTCATCCACCTTCTCTGGTTATTCCTTCTTTGGTAGGCTGCCCTTCTTTACCCAGCCTTTAAATATTGCCATTCTTCAGAGCTCCATGTAAAGTCCTCTTCTACAGCTCTGTTTGAGTACTGAGTGATTCCATTTATGTCCACAACTCGATGACCATGAGTATACAGATAAATCACAAATGTTTATCTCCAGCCTTATATACCAACTGCCTGCATGACATGTCCATTGAACTAAAGCAAATTTATTAACCAAAATGTATTTTTAACATAAGATTACCTGTGGCATTGGGGTAGATGCAAATAATTATGTCATCATCCTTGATATAAGGAGCTTACAGTCTAAATGTAGTCACAGGACCTGTAGTGTAAGGGTTGAAGCTGTAGGCTTTGAAGTCCTGTACGACTGGGTTCAAATCTTGGCTCTACCACTAGTAGTGATATAATCTTGAGTAAATTATTTCACCTCTGTGGGTGTTGGTCTCCTCTTCTGTAAAATAGGGGTACGAAATCTTTCCTGCTAGGACTGTTGCAAAGATGAATGGAACTGTGTAAGCTTTAAAGCGCTTAGTGGTAATGGTGCAGAGTAAACTCTTTTACTATAGAAATATTTATAATAGTAGTGGTGAGAAATATTAGAATACAGAGTAGCATACTCAAGTGTCAAGACAGTTCTATAAACTGTTTAAGTGTGGGAAGAATTCTAAGGAAGGAAACCTGTGAACCGGGATGGGCAGGAAAGATGTCCTAGACGTGGTGGGCCTGGCGTGGAGAATAAGTAAGAATTCAGATTAGAAACAAACTGATAAAGGGGCAGCATGCTGAGGTAGAAATAGTAAAAGATTTGGAGTAAGAAAATATGAATTTAAATCAGCTCTACCTCTGAATAGGTGTCTCTTTAGATGATTTCTCCATCTGTAAAGTACAGATGATGATACATGTCCTAACCACCTTACATGTTTGTTGTCAGTAATAGTTGTGAAAACATTTGTTGCACAGTAAAATACTGTATACATTTTAATCATTTATTGTGGAATCAGTATTCCTCAGAGGAAAGAGTCTGGCGTTCAGAGTTGGAAACACCGGAGTGAATCCAGCTACACGTGTACAGCTGTGATAGTCATCCTTGACCTTTAGTTTTCTCATCTCTCAAATAGAAATAGTATTTCTTGTCTCATTTGCAGTGTTGTAAGGATAAAATAAGTTACTGTTCATTTGTGAGGATCCATAGAAGCCAGGCACGTTGAAGCGCCACGAGCTATCAAGCTGGTGTGCATTAAGCACTCGGTCATTGGTGACTTTCATTAATGCTCGTATTGATTGCCTTAAGATTCTGTGTATTTAGCATGTATATAAATAATGTGTGACAAATAATGTGACACCCTTATTTCAGATCCCATGTTAGATCTGGATATTCAAGAATTAGCCAGTCTTACTACAGGAAGAGGAGATTCGGAGAATTTTGAAAGACTATTTACAAAGTTAAAAGAAATGAAAGGTAATCAGCTGCATCGTGTCTAACATGCTCGTTTATTTATGCTCGTCTCTTATATTGTAAGGTTTCATTTTATAATGGCTGGATTGGATCCCACGCTCTGGCCTTAGCTGTCTTGAGAAACTTACTTGGGGGACTGTGCCATCCTCTGTTGGTAAAAATTCCCTGGGAAAAGTTTTCTTCTTTCTTCATTTTCTTTCCTCTTTCTTTTCCTTCTTCTCTTGCCATTCTCTCTTTCTTTCAGTGTGTCTCATTAACATGGAATCAGTGAGAGCCCTATACATCATTACCATCTGGAAAATTTGGAAGACTTAAACTTCCTAAGAGCTGTAATGACTACACCATAAACATATGTCTTTGAAACCCATCCCCCATCTGCTAGTGTTAGAACATCCATACACTCCAGATTCTTCTGCGCTATTAGACGAATTTCTTAAAATATATTTTCCCCCTAGACAAGGCTGCGACGCTTCCTCACGAGCAAAGAAAGTTGCATGCAGAAAAGGTGAGATAATCACTCAGGTATTTATTGAGTACCTACAAAGGTCCAGTGCTATTATAGAGCAACATTTGTTTACTTTGAAAGGGTCTTAGTGTGGGCTTTGCATCGTATATTAACTTATAGCTAATTGAATATTTATACAGTAGTAAATAGTAATATAGTCATTGCAGTCAAACTAAGATTTTTCAAACGTATGTTGAGTGGCATGGAACTTTCATTTAGACTTAGGGGATCTTTGAAGTTCTAACCTTTGGGCAGGAAAACTCTAGATTTTTTTTTTTTTTTTAATTACCAATGCAATACCTGTTATTGGCAAGAAACATATATGGTATTTATTCCATTGTATGAATGTGTCATTATTTATCCATATCCCTTTTGGACAGTTAGGCCAAGTGCATTTTTTGTTTCTGTAAATAAGGAGCCCTCTTGGCGCAGCAGTTGAAGTACTCAGCTGCTAACTGAAAGGTTGGTGGTTCAAACCTGCTAGCTGCTCCATGGGAGAAAGATGTGGCGGTCTGCTTCCATAAAGAGTACAGCCTTGGAAACCCTGTGGGGCAGTTCTGCTCTGTCCTGTATGGTCGCAGTGAGTTGGAATCAACTCGGCGGTAATGGGTTTATTTGGTGTGGGCGTTTTTCACATATCCTCATAGTGTATATCTCTGATTCTATCCTTAGGATAAATTCCTAGAAGTGGAAGTGCTGGGTCAACAAGGTTTATTGAGGGCTGGAGGGCAGGGTGTAAAGTGTGGAATTTTAGGTCTTACTTGGTTCAAAGTATGGCATGTGGCAAGAGCTAAAATGTAGCTATTATATAAAACTTGTTGCATGCTTCTCTCCACAGGTAGCCAAAGCATTCTGGATGGCAATTGGGGGAGACAGAGATGAAATTGAAGGCCTTTCGTCTGATGAAGAAAACTAAATTATTTGTACTGGGGTTTGACTAGCCGAAGTGCTATATATAACTCTTTTTACGTGAGTTAAGGGGATACTTTCCTACTCAACCCAGTTATATTTTGCTGAAATTCCAATCATGTTGGCTACCTGGTGTGTTTATAGGGCTCCCTTAATTTAATTTTTAGTAGTGGTTTCAGGAGAAATCTTTCCTCCCTCAGTGTACTATAAGGGAGTGAAGAGTATAATGACAATGAGGAGTGGGAGTTTTTCAGATAGACTTTTTGTTTTAGGGGTGAGGGTGGAATGAGACTTAGAAGTCTGTGTAATTTGTCCAAGTTATAGAAGAAGAAGAAAATCGCCAAGCCACTTCTAGTCGACCTTTTAAGTAGCATTCCCTGCATTCAAACTTGGTTATCACACATCCGGAGCTGTGTCATCCTTCCGAGCGTTGTAGATTTTCTGGCGACACTGTTGCTTTACTGCTATCAAGGAACATGCTGCTCTGAGCTATGATGCTTTTGATGGGAAGAAAGGAGGCAGCTGCAGATCTGATTTACTCCAGTATAGGTGGGGCCAAAGACAGGCCCTCGGGTTAGTCTCCAAAGTATGCTTCTGGGCTTTTCATTTGAAGAGTTAAGAGCTCATGATAGAAATTACTGAAAAGCTAGTGTGAATTTTTAGACTATGGTAAATGAGGCAAAGGTTTCTTACTCTGGTAGTGATAAAACAAACTCTTCCACTGAATTTTTGTAGTGCGTGTGTGTGTTTTAAGGGAGAGACAGAACCTTAAGGGATTCCTCTATGGACCAGAGAAACAGTATGTGGTTGCATACTGAGATTTTTGTGTTGGCATCATCGTGAAGAAACTCTTAGAGGTCTTAGACCTTAGAGGTCTCCCCTGCTACTTGAGATGTCAGAGCTGTGTTGTCACACTTTGTACCCTCAAAACAAGGCAAGATTCTCCCTCTTTCTCTTTGAAAGCCAAACAGAGAACACTGCCAAACTAGTGACACTAAGGACTGAGAGCTGAGGAAGGGCCTGAAACATGAGGCAGTGAATTCCGGAGCACCTGGTTGACTTCTGGAGCTTGGTGACGCCTCGGTGCCCTCCCAGGTCTGCAGCCATCAGGGAACACCTTTGTTCTTTATCCTCTGAGAGGGCGAGGTCATGCTGAGTGGGTCAGCCCCACCCAGGGAAACTGATCACCAAAGAGAAGGTTCCCAGAGGAAGAGTGGAAAGTACAACAAATTAAAACCCTTGTTTCTGTTGTTGTAGATAGTTTTTAAACGCATGTCATTACCTTTCGCCGTGATGAATGCCGTGGCTGTACACCGGCACCTCGAACAGCATGGGTGGTGCCAGCATACAGGGTGACAGTGGGTTCTTGGCTGGTGTGGGCTATGAACCTGTTCACACTGTGCAGGCAGAAGAAAGACAAGCTAAGTTACGAGAGCCAAGTTCCATACCCCCTCCCAGCGCCCTCATATAAGCGCTGTAAACCGGAAGTAGGTGGCAGAGGAATATCCAGTGCCTGGCCAGGGCCACCACAGGGAGGAGAGGTTCCAGTAATGGGAACATTCGGGAAGAGGCATTTCAGGGAACATTGGAAGCTGTCTTGCTTGGTGAACTTTTTTTCTTCTTCTTTTTTTATTGTTCTCTTGTTCTTTGAGACTATAGTTCACCACCATTGCATCAGTATTTCTTGACTGCATTAGCCATTGATTGAGGATGTAAGGAAAGTTGGCTCTGGGGTTGCAAGATGAAAGATGGAATATGTTTTTCTTAAAACATGAAAGGTTTTGGAAACTATGTTAGCCCACCTGGTTAGGGAAACAGACTAGAAAAAGCTGTGAACTTGATTTTGTGGATTAAACAAACCCAGGAGATTAAAATGTGATTTATTTATAAAGTCTGCTAATGTGTATTATGATTTTGTTGTTTTTTTTTTTAGTGGGGGATGTGAGTGAGGGAAACCCTCATATCCTTCACTGAATTAGGCATAAATTCTGAATAGTTAAGGGTTTGTCAAACTCACTGTTTTGGAATCCACCACGCATGTGTATAATGTCAAATCACTTTCTTAAGACGTCAGCTATCAGGGGAGGTCGGCCACTTCTCGGGCATATGTGGGACAGAGGTATCCGACGGCCTGTGTTAGGAAGAGTGATTACAAGCTAATACTGCAGTAAAGTGCAGCCTCTCTGAGCTGACCTTTGTACATGCCACTGCAAGTTATTATGGACCATCCAACTGGGATTTAAAATAAGAGACTCAGCTTTTTTTTCTTTAACATCTATTTGCTTAACACAGTGTTTGGCACATAGTAGGCCCTTAATGTTGGTTGGGCAGTATGGTTCGTATTTGATAGTTTGATGGCTGTGATCACAAAGTTTGAGGATTGTAAGTGTTGGGAGGTAGGGAGAGACAAGAATAAACGTTTTTTTTTCCTTCTGAGAAAATCATGTGTTATGTAATAATTTTAGAATGATGAAGACATAGATATTTTTATAATTTTAAAATATGCTATCCTGCCAGAGTATGAGAAGATTGACAGAACCAGTTTGCTTGCTCTCTATTTATAGAACTTGGCCACGTCTGATTCAGAGAAGCTAGAGATTCAGGGAAGCTAGACTTAGATGGCTGACTAATATGCGATGTGGTTCAAGGACCATAGAGCATGTCAGGCCATTCCTGCAAACTTCTTATAACAGGTGAAACGTGACATCTGGCTCATGTCATCTTCCCTCTGTCGAGAGGTGTGGACAGTTTTGCCTTGGTTTGTCAAATTCCCTTCACCTTGGGCCAAACTCTTAACAATAGACATTGAGAGAGCACGTGGAGTGCCCCTTGCCCTGCCTTGGCCTGCCATGGAAAAACGGTCTTGTAAGAATCACTATCTAAGGGTAAGATGAGAGCCCCATAAACTGTTCTGAGCTTGAGTGTTTGCTGATGCAAAGCTAAATTTAGCAGATGGTCTGATGTGGTCAGGGGTTCTGATTCATTGAGTTCTGATTGATGGAGACAGAGTCGTAGTGAATGATGAGTTAGGTTTGCCCTCCACCCCCCGCCTCCAAATTTTTCAGACAGACAAGACAGTTCAGCTGTAGCATCTTGTTAAATGCCAAATCTTACTAGAGGGCTACTGGTGGAAAAAGTGTGAAAAATCTGGTTCAGTGCACTGAACCTCATCCCACCCCAGTGGGGGTCTGACACCACCACACCAGCATGAACTTCCCCGTTATTTGTGTGCCTCATAGAAGCATAATGGGAATGTGCAGGACACAGTTCTAGCTTTTGATTTAGATTTCACTCAGGGTTTAGTTGAGGATTCATCCTGGCACCTTTGGCTTGTAAACTCTTTCAGACAAGGTCTTAGAGATTCTTCATGTTTCATATTTTGACTATTACCTACACCCATTAATAACATCACAGGCCATGCTCCTAATGTAGATCTCTTCCCTCAAGTGTGCATACTGCAGTTATTCTCCTGCATAAAGTGTCTTACTTGGTTCTGAGTGTTTCTCTGCTCTGTGAAGAATTAACAGGAGGTCATAGCAGCAGTACAGGCTTTTTGTTGGAGCACTACTGAGCCCCAGCACTTAATGATTTACAGTTCTACTTTGTTTCCTATTGGAAAAATATTGATTCAAAACCTGGACCTAATGGTTATTACTGCATCTTTGGAACACAGGCTTGGAAAAAAAGAAAAAAAAATCTATGTGTGCTTTTATGTGTATCTGGGTGCATCTGTTAATAGGCCCAAACCCTCCCTCTCCACAACTACAAAACTTGGAGGCATAAACCCCAAAAAAAAAAAAACCTAACCCACTGTTGTCGAGTTGATTTGGACTCATAGAGACCCTATAGGACAGAGTAGAACTGCCCCATAGGGTTTCTAAGGCTGTAAATCTTTACGGAAGCAGATTGCCACATCTTTCTGCCACAGAGTGGGCTGGTGAGTTCGAACCGCAGACCTTTCGGTTAGCAGCTGAGCGCTTAACCGCTGTGCCACCGGGGCTCCTCTGGAGGCGTAAACAGGCCCCATAAAGCCGTTCATACCCAGCTGACTGGCCAGGAAGCCTCTGGTTCTATCCTATGAAGGGAGTAACCATTCATTGCCTCTGTCGTTTCTCTTGTTATCAACCAATTAGCATTAATGCAACAAAAATGCGGGCTGTGTGAGGCCTAGAGTAGGAATTTATGGAAAGGGCAGCATAGTTTAGCAGAGAGAGGATTCTGTCTAATGTGCAGGGACATGTTCTGTACCACACCAATCCCACCTCTAGGAAATTCTCAGGAAGTCCTTGATTAAAGAGGTGGTAAAGTTAGGCGGCCTGGCGATCTACTTTTGGGAAAAAACAGCCATTGAAAACCCTATGGGAGTACAGTTCTACTCTAACACACATAGGGTTGCCATGAGTCGGAATCAGCTCGATCGCAACTGGTTCAAGGCTAGAAGACCTCAAACGTAGTTAAAAAAAAAAAAAACCCAACTGTAACTCATTCTTTCCACCTTGCTGAGAGTTGAAACAAAGATTCAGGATTCAGCCAACAATGATTGTGAACATTCTTGGTGTCAGACTCAGCTAAGTGTGGAAGAGGATATAGACTTGAGTGAGGATGCAGTTTCTCTTTCCAGAAGCTCATAGCCCAGCTCAGGTGGGAGAAGGAGGTTAGCCAGACAAGGTCATAAAAGATGAAATGCTGGGCAGCATGTGAGAAGTGCTGGGACCAGCTGTAATTGCCATGGGAGGAGAGAGTATGGTGGGTTGGGGAGAGCATAAAGTGCATCTTAGAACAGTGGTTCTCAAACTTGAGCACACATCAGAAACACCTGGAACCATCCAAGTTAACGATTCAGTAGGTCTAGGGTGGGGGCCTCAGAGTTTGCATCTCTAATGTCCCAGGTGATGCTCCTAGACCTGGGACCACACTTTGAGAGCCACTGACTTAGAGGAAACAATACTTGAGTTGAACCTAGAAGGGTAAGAATTTGGACAGCAGGTGGGTGGAGGCAGCAAACTTCTTAGTGGAAGTTATGGCATGAACAGTTATGGAGATACGCGTACAATGTAGTATCTTGCCATAAAAAGGAGTGAAGTTCTGATATATGCTACAGCATGGATGAACTTTGGAAACATGCTAAGTGAAATAAGCCAGACCCCAAGGGACAAATATGTGATCCCATTTATATGAAATATATAGAACAGGTAAATACATAGAGACAGAAAGTAGAAGGGTGGTTACCGGGGGCTGGGGGAGAGTAGAACAGGAAGTTATTGCCTAACGGGTACAGAGTTTCTGTTCAGGGGGTTGGAAGTTTGGGAAACAAATAGCGGCAATGGTTATACAACATTGTGAGTGTGATTAATGTTACTGGATTGTACACTTGAAAATGGTTAAAATGGCAAATTTTATTATGTTGTGTATATTTTACCACAAGAAATAAAAGATATGGAGATAAACATATCTTGTGTTGGGAAAATACAAGTACCCAGTTGAGAGAAGTGGTAGATAAGGATGGGGTGATGTTGGAGAGGGCTTTGAAATACAACCTGGTGGAGTCGGTACCTACCCTGTAGGTAATTGAGGAGGCAAAGGTTTGTGAGCAGCGAAGACATCTAACCATAATTGCATTCCAAAGAAACCTGGCAGTATTGACTGGCCTACACTAATTGGTCAGGATTATCTACCTGGAGAGCTGTGTTGAGGATTCTAAGTGCTGTGATGGATCCAGTGCTGTGATGGTTTTCACCAGGGATAGAGAAATAGAGAATGGTGGTAATTTTGCCATCCCTGGACTAGAGGGACACAAATTAGGAGAATACTAGAATAGGTGTGATAAAAAAGATAATCCCAAAATGTGTTTTGGTGACATTCCTTCAGTCATATGTAAGGACTTACTGTAGGGATGTTGCGTGCTGTTGATTCCAGCTCATAGTGACCCCATATGGCAGAGTAGAACTACCCCATAGGGTTTTCTAGGCTGTGGTCTTTACAGGAGCAGATCGCCAGGTTTTCTCCTGCAGATTGGCTGGTGGTTTCAAACCTCCGATCTTTCGGTCAGCAGTCGAGCTTTTAACCACTGCACCACCAGGGCTCCTTTATTGTAGGGATAATCCGTTGCTGTTGAGCTGATTCTGATTCTGTGACCCTATAGAATAGAGTAGAACTACCCCACAGGGTTTCCAAGGCAGTAAACTTTACGGAAGCAGACTGCCACATTTTTCTTCGTGGAGCGGCTGGTGGATTTGAACTCCCAACCTTTTGCTTTAATCACTGGGTCACCAGGGCTCCTCACTATAGGGATAGTAGGGGTAGCACAGTGGAAATGGATATAAAAGATATTGCTGAGGTAGAATCTAGTAGATATAGCCACTTACTGACTCATTTAATTCAGCAAAAGTATGGCAGCCAAAAGAAGCTGGGGATACAAGAATATGCTGTAAACCCTGCTCTAAAGGAACTCAGTCTGGGGGCAGACAGACACAACAGTTAACACACAGCTGAGGAGACTGGCGATACAGATGTGTGTAGTAGACTTTCTCAGGAGATGCCTCAACTAAGTTCAAAGCCACTTAGCCAGGTGAACTAATGGTGTGTGTCAGAAAGGCTGGCGGTGGGTGGGGAGTGCGGGGTGTGGTGTAGATCGAGGAAGAGAGGTTGGCGTTCCGAGCAGAGGAAACAGCCTGAGCAGTCATGGAGACAGGTGTGATACAAGGAGCAGGTTGCTGGTTGTACAGTATAGGGAGTGGTGAGAGCTGGGCAACCCGTTGCTGTCAAGTCGATTCCAACTCATAGCAAACCTATAGGACAGAGTAGAACTGCCCCATAGGGTTTCCAAGGAGCACCTGGTGGATTCAAACTGCCCACCTTTTGGTTAGCAACCGAGCTCTTAACCACTGTGCCACCAGGGCTCCTAGAGCTGGTTAGGGGCCGGATAATGAAGGTCAAGTGGTGCATGTTGAAGACCTTAGAATTTGTGCTGTGGACTGTGGGGAGCCAGGTAAAGTCAGATAGGTCACTGAGGGCAGTGATACATTTATAGGACAGAATGCTGTTGGCCAGTTAGGAAGCTAGAGGGCCTGAGTATAGGGCAGTAAAAGTGGGACTAGAACAAAGAGGAGAATCAGGACTGACTGGGTGTGGAGAGAGAGAGGGTGGTCTAACTTCCGGTGGGTGTAGGTTGGGTAAATGGTGGTGGCAGAAACAGGGCTAAAGGCCAGAGGACTGGGCGATGGTTTAAGAAGGGAAATGGTGATTTCGGTTTTATAAAGTATGAGTTTGAGGTACTGGTGGCACCTCTTATGTACAGGTATCCAGCAGGCTGTCAGATAGGAGTCAGAAGCCTAGTATTGATGTCTGAGGTATAAATACTGATTTGGGAGTCGTTAACATTTTCGTGGTTTGAAATTGTAAGGGTAGGTGAAACCACACATGGAGGAACGGCAAGCGTACATACAGTGATCTGGGAACACCAACCCTGAAGAAGTAGGCAGAAGAGGGGCAGGCCCAAGGAAAAGAGATTGTGTGAGAGGGCCAAGACGAACTGGGAAGCTCAGGAGTAGGGCCTTTCCAAAAGGAGTTTTAATCAACAGGGGGAGCTGTAGCAAGGAGGCCTGTTGATGTCCTCGACAAGAGCAGTTTCTGTAGAGAGGTGTTGGAGAGCAAGGGAAAGAAATGGACCAAGCTGCTCAAGGCTTGGAGAATGGTGAGGCTACTGATAAGTCAGTGTGAGAAAAGGGAGCCAGCTCGGGCGAGATGGGGAAGATGATCCCACTCCGAGGCTGTTAATGTTCTGGATCACGTCTAACAGGCAGTTGGAATTTAAACGCGTGGAACTCAAGAACAGGCTGGGTTAGAGGTACCGATTTGAGAAGTCACCTAAGAAATTTCGACTTACAGTAAAACAATGGGAAAGTCATTTAGGGGGCAGGAGGGTAGAAGAGCTAGCCAAAGACGAATCATAAAGGTAAGAACTGGATGTGGCTCCTAGAGACCAAATCTGTAGGCTCACAGGTGCTCTTCATGAAATCTGCCTCCCTGGAGGTGCTGGACTCTGATGAGGTCCTTAGAAGGAAGACTGCTGTAAAAGTGGCCCCCCCACTGAAGGGTTATTCCAGCCTCCATTCTGTGCTTCTCCCCCAGATTCTCTTAAACTATTAAATCCAAATGGCATTTTACATTTTAATCATGTGTTTCTAACTCCACATCATCTGGGGTCAGTGTAAGATTCAGTCAGGGAAACCATTTTTTGAAGTCTCTTTCTCCTTGGTAGTTTTTAATTCAAAATGAGTTTTCCCAGGAGCCAACAGACACAGTAGTCTGAGCTGGAAGGTGTAGTTATGACTCTAAAACATCTTACTCCTTGCCTGAGGGAAGGTTAATCTGGTGGTATTTAGGACATGGTGGCAGTATGGAAGAGACAGGCTAGGGAGGACAAGCAGAGCAAGAGGTAGCAGGCTTGAGGTTAGTTAGGGTGGTGGCATTTAATGATTCGCCAGAGGCCTTGAGTACACAAGAATTGAACGCAAAACACCATTGCTAGGAGATGCGCCAATTGCAAAACTTCTGACCTTTGCTTCTGATGGCTGAGGGCCTCCTGCTATCATGAAGGGCTGGCTGGCACTGCAGTTTGCTTTCAGTGAATGAATGAGGGCCGCTGGAGAATGCATGAGGACTGACAGACTTGGCCTGGCACATCCTGGGCCAAAGTACATTTGGGTGTGCAGTTTCCTCTGGACCCCCACAGCTCTGAAGCCCCTGGGACCCGCTGGGCTGCTCTGGAAATCTCCCCACCCAGAGACAGCAGCAAGAATCAGATGGCGCCCCTGGCGCAGGTGCTTTTCAATGAAACATTTATTAGAAGGGTACTTAGGGGGGAAGAGGAGGAGGAGAGGACACAGATCTTCAACAGTAGGGGTATAATGCTTCAACAAACAGGTGCTCTGCTTTTAAGATACAAAAGTTAGAAAAATCTAAAACACTATAAATACATACATGCTTTTTACAAAGGTACTAAAAGGTCAGGCTGGCTGAGAGGTGAAGGTATTCAACATCCTCCACGGCCTTCCCCTCCCCCCACCACCCAACACCAAAATGAGAGTCAAGAACAGCCTGGTTGCAGCAGCAGCCGTGGAGGTGATTGAAGGCTTCTTGGGCAAGGGTGGCTCCATCCCTCTGTATAAAGTTCCCCCGGAGGAAGGGAGCAGGGGCGTAGTTCAGGAGACCCCTGGGGAAAGGTCCTGCGTTGAGTCAGAGCTGCCTGTCTGTACATGCTGCCACTTGTTGAGCCAGCCTGGGTTGGCGTTTCCCGATGCTGAGCCAAAAAAGCCACTACACCCTCAATCAACATTCAGAACTGGCTGTTCCCCCAACTCTTCCCAGCCACTGTCCTTGGGAGGAGAGGCTTTGCCAGCTTTCTTCAAAACATTAAATAGTTATCTGTCTGAATGGTTTTAAGAAATTATTACATAAATATAAAAACACCAGAATGCTAGAGTATACATTACTTCAGCATTAAAAAAAAAAAAAAAATCAGTTACACAATCACTGAGAGAGTTTCTCAATCCAGTTTACACAATAGGTGAGTCCGTGTTATATGATAGATGTGTTTCGGACAAGTTGCCTGTGTATCCAATCATTGTCCCACTGACTTCCCGTCGGAGATGCCTTTTCATTTTTAAACCATATTCTCCAGCATAAATTTTTCTGCTTTACTCAACCACTTGAGAAGTAACTGATTCTCCTTAAAAGGGTGACATACATTGTGAAGATTTGTACCTAAGGAGGAGGCCCTACAAGGGAACATTTGTGCCACAAAGAAAATGGTACACTTCAGCTGTGTTAGTTTAGGTTTTCATCTAGTAAAATGGGGACACGTCTATATTTGGGGTTAAACTCCCATTCTGCCACTGAAAGTGACACAGTAAGAAGCAGGGTCCAGAGCTAAACTTGTGCCCTCTCTTGCTACTGTTAACCCCCTTGGTACTAGGCCCTGGAGCAGTCTGCAGACTCCTTTCCATCGCCCCCCTTTGAAGGACTAAGGAGAGGGGCTACTGTGAGCCGTGGCCCTGTGGACACCCTTCATGGAGCCTCCAAAATGGCCGCCTGGGGCTAAGAAAGAAACCAGATGTTTGTCTTCTCCCCAGACCACACATACATGCACAACATGCACACATGATGAAAACCCTTTCCCCCCTTTGGTTTGAGTAAAAGCACTTCGCCCTGGAATATGTCCAAACTGAAGGAAGTCCAGGGGAGATGGAGAAAAACAAATCAAGCACAAGATATGTGCTATAGCTCATGTCAATACGTTAATAATGATTTTAAAAAAGAATCACCACAGTCAATTAAAAAAATAGAGCACAGACAATGTAAGGACAATGGAGAAGTCTGCCAGCAGCCTTGCCCTCGTATGTGTTCCTCCTCAGATAGTCAAGAGTCTCTGCTCCTGACTCTAAGCTTGTCTCAGAATGTCAGCTCTTCTGCCACCTGCCAGGAAGGTGGCCAACTGAGATGATGTTCCAGCACAGGCCTGTAATCCAAACCGGCCAGGGGAGCTACCTGCATTTGTGCGGGCAAGATCTAAGTTACTAAATAAAGTTGGCAAGAACGGGGTGGCTGGTGGGGGAGGAGAGGAATGGGAATAAAAGCCGGCTCCTCAGGGAGGTGCCCAGGACAAAGATACACACTCCGGTGCTAGCTAGTCTCGGGTCATTGCTGGCCCGGGTCAGTGCTGGCATAGGCCGCAAGGTGAAGACGTCATGCGTGGGGAGCCAGGCAGGGGAGGACACACTAGATCATGTTGCCCAGATAAACAATACTCCAGAGGGCCATCTAATGCCGCAGTCACGGCTCTAGAACTGCTCTTGCCCCTTTTAACTGTCTTTTAAAAAAGGTTTTTGTTTTAATGTGTAAATGCCACTCATACAACAGGATTTTAAAACTAAGACAACTAGTTTTGTGACTTAAGGAAGGGCACTAATACTACACGTGCCCCAAAGCACTCTAGGATGGGAATGGCGCCATTTTCCTAACCTCTAAGTACAACCAAATTTATATTCGGTGATGCCGACAGTGAGCTTGCCTAGTATCTCCTCACATGTCCTCCTCGCCACGGTCTATTCTGTAAAGAAAAAGGGTTAAGTAGCCTTTGGAAAAAACACAAAACTAAAACTTCATGCCTCCTGGAAGTAAGCTTCAGGTCTGAGTATTGAGGGTTCTAAGACCCCATCCAAATGCTGCCAGAAGTGACCACGGGATCACCAAAATTAGGCTGCATCTGAAGACAGTTCCCAAGTACCTGGAGGACGTGTGCCACGGGAAACCCTAAAATGGGATTGTGTAGCAAGTGGAGAATGCAGGCCCTCGGAAACCACTGCCCACCTGTGGCTTTCAGGAGAGGCACCAGGATTGCTCCAGCAGAAGCCAATTGAATATCCGTGCCCTGGGTCTCAGACCTCGACTGGAAGTCTTCCAGGGGTTTCCTGCATTGGTAAGAAGCAGTCCACAGATCATTTCACACCAGGCATAAACTTCAGGCCCGCAGTACATGGCCTCTCAGGTGGAGCCAAGAGGTTTTGTATCGTCTTTGGGTTCTGTGTCAACACCCCCTCAGGAAGATTGGCACAAATCTGCAAGCTGCTCCTTGAGTCTCTTCCTGTGTCCTCAGGAGGCTTGGGGAGCAGCTCTCCTACCTGGAAACCTCAAGGCTAGAGCTTCAGAAGCACAGGATGCTGTAGGGGGGGCACCAGGGAGCCCCAGCATCTTCATACGGCATCAGAAATGTCATCACATTTGAGGCTTATACCTGCCAGAAGTTTACACTTTCTCCCCTTCACCTGGAGTAAGACAGGATTTCCATGGGAAATCCCTTTATTTTTCCTGGTATAAATCCATGCAAAAATATGGGATAAGTCATTTCATACAAAAACAGCAGCAAAGAATAATTAATACCAGTTGCAGGCGGCAATCCTGTCTGCTGTATTCTGCAAAAGGCCAGTAAAAGAAGAGGGCTCATTTCTTTTTTCAACTGAAATAATTTATAATAATTTTCTCACTAATTGCCACTGGAAGCAGTACTTATTACACAACAGAACTGCGGGAGTTGCCACTGATGGGCCTCTACTGTGAGCTACAGAATCTCAGAGCCCAGGGGAAAGATGATGGATCTCTCTGCACCAAGCCTGCAATTTTCAAAGGTGTAAAAAAAATAAAAAGTTAATAGCCGTTTTCATCCATTGGCCTGAGATTTTCCCTCCTGATAAACTGGCTTCTGTAAATTTCAGTTTCCAAAAGTGCTGGCAGGTGTCTCCTCAACACAACCTGGGAAAGCTTCACCTTGGGGGAGCGAAGGGGGAGAAGTTGCTGGATCGCACTCCAGTTTCCCGGTCAATGCGCCAACCCAGGATTTGTTTTTAAGATAAAACAAACATTTAAAAAGCATATGATAAAGTTCATTTAATTAATGCAACTGACTACATAAACCAGTATAGCCATGTGCATCAGAATGTGGAGTGAGCTCTTAGAGATGACCGGGGGAGACCCACACCACGTAGTGCTGCCTTAGCCCAGGTATCATCACCTGACAACTGCCCCTTGCTTCATGTCAGTACTTAATGTAATTCAAATCTCTTTGAGATTAATGTGATAATATAGACCATACAGTGCATATATATGCACGGAGCCTCGACAGATCCTTCCGACTTTGCAAAGTGAGAAAGGACAAATTTAAGAGTTTTTGAAGAAGAGGTGGCTGTCACCAACTTTTCCCACTATCCCCTTGTGCACGTCCTACTGAACACACTTGCTCACGCCCATCAGAATGTTCTGGGGTGGTGGGGAGGGAGACAGATAAGCCCCTCCCCACCCCAAGTCAATCCAACTCATGAGGCGCAGGGCTTGCCGGAGTGGTGGGGCTGGCGACTGCACAGCTGAAGTGGCATTGTCGAAAGCGCCAGGGAGCTGGGGCAGGAGGTTTGCTCATGCCCGTACAGGCTTTTCCCTACCTAGAAGACCCTTCCAAGGTGAATTCCACATGCCTGTGCTGACCAGAGGGGCATTTCCTGTTGGGCAGTGGCATCCCAGATCGCTGTCACTAAAAAAGAAGGGGGTAGGGGAGGGAGCACGTGGTGAAGTACTACCTGTTTGCTCAAGCCACCCGAGCAGAAGCCATTGCTTGTCCTTCAAACTGAGGGCCGAAGGACAAATTGGTTCAGCAGACACAGCTGTTCAGAAAATCCATCTCTGAGTTTGCCTTTGTGTTTTGGAGAACAGGTTGGTGCCCTTGGGTTGAGGGAGAAAATTTTCTTTCTTGACAACAGTGGGTTGAGCAGAGTTCTGATTTTCTCTACCTCCTAATGGCCATTTTCCCCAAGCCCATCCTTCCCACCCTCCCCCTTCACACCCAAGGTCTCTAGGACACGCTGGAACAGCGGATGCTTGGGGAGCCCATCTGGGTGAGGACCTTGTCAAGCCACTGCAAAGGACCATTCAGGTGCAGCTCGATCCAGCAGGGGGTACTGGTCACCGTCTGTCTCCTGCAAGAAACAAGAGAAGGGGTAGGAGTAGAGACTTCAGAAAGGTCCAGAGGGACATAGAGAGTAGTCAGAACACCTTTTTCTGCTTTGGTGACACTCTTTCCCCAAAGCCAGAGATTCATCCTGCCTTGCTGGACGCTTCCTAGAGGAGGTGACAATCCTTGCTTAAACTCCTCCAACCAGGAAAGACTTTAAGTAAATCTTGATGGGGAAGGAGGTGGCCCTGCAAGAGTTAAACATGTAAGGCTAATTCCAAGGTACCCCATAGGCCCCCACTCATTGGGCCAGGCCTCCCTGGCATCCAAAGGGCACCTGCAGCTCTCCCATCTCTAGACCTGGACCCAGCCCCAACAGGCCGCAATGACGCGTTGTCTGATTGAGGAGTGTTTTTTTTTTTTTTCACAAAGCGCCGACAGAGTCCGCATGCCATCGGCTCCCAAGGTGCTGATACAATTCCCATCTATGGCCTTATTTTGGAAAATCTTACAAGTAGAGCGAGCCATGGAACAATTACTGGAAAAAACCAAGGCATGCCACACGTTTCTTTTCCCCAAAGCACTTTGTCTAAGTCCAGGCTGGTTGGTGATGCAACTCACAGGCGAGCTCCCAAAGGCACCCACTGAGCAAAGGCTGTCTGCTGAGGCCCGAATCGCTGGTGCCAGCCGGAGGTGAGAGGCCTGGGCCCTGCGCCCTGCACTCGGCCACTGCACAGAGAGAACGGCTGAAACCTTACTCGTCTTGGCCCGAGAGACAGGAGGAGGGCAAGACTGTTCTGGGAGGGGCCACACCTACCCGTTAGGCTGTTGTGCAGCGCTGCCAGGCGGCGGTGGTGGCGGGGTGGGCCGTCAGGACTGGGTGTGCTATGCGGTAGTACAGTGCCCCCAGGGAAAGCCTTCCGCCATCAAGGAGCCTCTCCCCAGCACTCAGAGCCGGCTCCCATGCCAGGCCCAGGGACACTCTCCTGAAGGCACCACCCTCCTCACTTGGACTACACTTCCCCTGAGTCGGGGGAGTTCAGAGGTGGTTTGCTGACCCGGCCCTGGGAGCCTGCCTGATATAGGGTGCCTGCAGGACAGAGCACGGCCCCCTGCACCGCAGGCAAGGTGTAAGAAGGGCAAATGGGCTTCCCTCTTGCTCTTTTCCATTTGAGTCATCTTTAAATACTTCCCTCTTCCTCTATTAAAAAAATATATTAATTTTCTAACCTTTCTCTCCTGTTCCCTAAGTGATCTAAGCCAGGGCTAAAAGGTTGGCTAAAACGTTTCCTTGGCGGGACCTTTGGGCCTGGGCTAATCTCTTCAGGCCATTATAACTGCGTTGTATGTTCTCCTGAGGTCTGACCGCTTGGATCAACTGGTCACTCATCCTGGATTTGAGAACGACCCCAGAGACCAAGGTGCTATGTTTCCTGGCACCGAGGGGCAGACACAAAGAACAGCAGCTAAAATACGGTAAATGGAAGAGAAGGATTTTATGGACTGAAATCCTCTCATGAGAATCTGACTTTCCATAAGTCATGCTCATCTGGATTTCATTATAAATGGTGGCCCAGAGCCAAAACTGAAATGGGTTTGGCCTGGGTGCAGAATGACTGCAAAACAAAATGGATTCCAAACATCTGGAAAAGTGAAGCAAAGGGGAGAGTAAGTTGCAAGGTGCTGGCTCCAGCTGCTGTGTGGGTGTCTGTGCAGTCGGCTGTAGGAGTGGGGGCTGGCAGAGGGGAATGGGAGACACAGGCCTGCCTCTCAGGAAACTCCTGTTTGTATGGAAAGAAAAGGAACGGGATTCCAGAATGGCCAGAGGGATTACAGCCGAGCAGACCAGGTGGCCCCCTGGCTGTCACTGGGGCCATGTTTAAACCAGTCTCCAAAATTCTGGGAAAAAATCATTTCTAAATAAACTTTGTTCCTTTGCACTTCCTTTATGACTACCCAAATCTCCTCCTCCCTTCCCTGGCCTCTCAGTTTTAATATCCTAGGTCCTCAGGGTCACCAGACCCCGAGTCTGAGATGGAGCCTCAGAGGAAGGGATGAACATTGAGACGAAGTCTTAACTTTCTGGAGACGGTCATTCTAAAACCATTTGCTCCAAGTGAAGAATAAGAAAGAAGCTGAGGACACAGTTCTGGGTTCTGCTTTTCCACTACTGATGGACTTCGGGCCAGCCACTTTCCCTCCCTGGGCCTTAGCTGCTTCATCTGTACAATGGGGATGATGCCAGCCAACGTTCCCTCCCAGGGCTGTTGTGAGGATGAAATGGGACGTGTGTATTTAAAGTACTTTAAACTGTTAAGTGCTGGGTGAACACTGCTCTAGCTTTTCCTTATCACTTGCACACCACCTCGGCCCCTCCAGGCCTGCCTGGCCAGGGCCTCTCCCTGGTCCTTGGTCTCTTGGTTCCACACCACCAGGGCTGGCCTAGCTCATGTCAGGAGCCCCCACTCTCTCTTCTGAGCCACCTGATCGGTTGCTTCATCGACGCAGCCCCAGACTCACCTGTACTCTGCCCCCCAGCCCTTGACGAAGCTCATGCGGATGGTGCACATGCGTGTCAGCTGGTAGACAGCCTCGAAGCCCTGGTTGACAGACTGAGCCAGGAGGGCGGCAAACTCCTGGTTGTTGAAGATCTTCAGGTTGCATCCTGTCAATGAAACAAAAACAGCGCTTGTAGTGATGGAAAGGTTTAGTGTTCCTTGCTCCCTCCTGGCTAAGGCGATCCCTGGATCACCCAGAACCGCACAGTTCACAGGGCCGAAGTGGCACACAATTGTTTTTTTTTTTCCTTTTTTTTTTTTTATATTTTATTGTACTTCAGGTGAAGGCTTACAGAACAAACAGTTTCTCATGAAACAGTAGTACACATGTTGTTTTATGACATTGGTTAACAACCCTACAACATATTAACCCTCTAACTTCTCAACCTTTTTTTTTTTTTGGTGAAAATACACATAGCCAAAGATACACCGTTTCAAAAATTTCTACATGCACAGTTCAGTGACATTGACTACACTCTTCCAGTTGCGCTGTTATTCTCACTTAAGATGAAGGTTTACAGAACAAAATAGTTTCTCATTTAACAGTTACTACAAATGTTGCCCTATGACAATGGTTAACAATCTCACAACACATCAATATCCCTACTCAACCTTGGGTTCCCTATCACCAGCTTCCTTGTCCCCTGCTGCTTTCTGGCCCTTGTCACTGGACTCCTGTACCTCGTTAGTCTCATTTGGTTTTACAGGGATGTCCACTCCCAGGCTGAACAGTGAACCTTACCACTGAGCTAAAAGGGTGTCTGGGGGCCATACTCTCGAGGTTTCTCCAGTCTCCTTTAGGCCAGTAAATCTGGTCTTTTTTGTGTGAATTAGAATTATGCTCTACATCCTTCTCCAGCTCTGTCCAGAACCCTCTGTTGGGCACACAATTGTTTAATGTGTTAGCCACACCCCATGCTCAGCACTGTGCTGGCAAGAGGCCAACTTGGTCCCTCACCACCTCACTGGGCAGATGCAACTGTGAGATGTGAGTTAAACACTGGCCTCCAAGCACCTGTTCCCAGAGCTGTGGGAAGGCTGGGAAGGAAGAAGGAAAAGTGGGCTACAGAGCACAAGGGAGATGGTTTGGAGAGGCGGGCCATGCCCTGGGCCAAAGGGGCCAAGGCAGGACTCCAGGGCACAGAGACAAGGTCCCTGAGCCAGGGCGCCCATGGTGGTGTGCACTATGGCTGGGGAGGGAAGCTCTGCTGGGCAACATCAGGTAATGCCAGCAGAGAAGGGCCACTGGAAGGCTACTCCACCGGCCACTTCAACAAACAGCTCAACAGAGGCTCCTGGGTTCCTTCCACCGACTCTTCAGTCGAATCCACCTTGTGCTGGGGCCAGGAGGGAGTCAGAGATCTGGGCCACGTTTTGACCTCTGGGCACAGCTGGGTCCGGGTGACATTCACAGCAAAACGAAGGTGTGTGTCTAATTCTCCAGATAGTAAAACTCAAGACAGGCACAGATAAAGTTTAAAATAACCCTCTTGTTTGAATTCTTACTGCTGAGCGCCAGGAATGTGTCAGCCAGAAAAATAAAGACAAAAGCACATGCCGGAAATACCCAAAAGGTGAGCTGAGGTGACGCTTATTAATGGGCCAACCCTGCGCTCCTTCTTCATCTTGCTGTGTGACTCTGGGCTGGGCACTTTCTCTTCCTGGGTCTGTGTCTCCTCTGTAAAATGGGGGACTGGATGCGAGGGTCCTCCCAGCTCTGACATTCTGTGAGCTAACGAACAATACCAGAGCCAACTCAGCCCTCAAAAAAAAAAAAAAAAAAAAATGGGGGTGGGGAAGAGAGTGGACGGATGCCAAGAATCCAATTGCACTTCCTCTTCTCACTTTCTCCAAGGGGAAGGGGGTGGAACAGGGCCAGAACTGGCTCTGATCCCCAGCACAGCCCTGAAGCAGAGGAGCACTAGATTCCCCCGTCCGTCCGTCGATCAGTCCTGGCTCCGTCCTGGCTCAGCCACTTGTAGCTGCTATGGATTGAATGGTCGAATTCAAAAGATATGTCGAAGTCCTACCCCTAGTACCTGTGAAAAGTGACCTTGTTCGGAAATAGGGTCTTTGAAGATGCTGTCAGTTAACATGAGGTCATACTGGAGTCGGGTGGGCACTATAATCCAGTCTGAGTTGGTGTCCTTATAAAACAGACAGACACGGACAGACAGAGGGAAGACGGCCAGGTGAAGATGTACCTATATGCCAAGGAACACGTGGAGCTGCCAGAAGCTGAGAGAGATAAGAAAGAGTCTTCCCCTAGAGCTGACAGCATGGCCTGGCCAACACGCTGACTTGGGCTTCCAGCCTCCAGAACTGAGAGACAACAGATTTCTCTTCTTAGAAGCCAGCCACTTTGTGGTACTTTGTTTTGGCAGTCCTAGGAGATTCATACACTGGATGTGTGTCCTTGGGCATGTGGCTTAACCTCTCTGAACCTGTCTCCACTTGTACAGCCAGAAAAACTAGCAAGGACTAAATGAGACCAAAGATAGAAATGTACCCTGTAAATGTGACCCGGGAGCATGATGCACTATATCATTTCAGACTTTCTGCATTCTTAAATTTACCCTGCCCAAGGTCTAGCCCTCGTCTGTCATCTGCTACTCAGCCGGCAGGAGAGGGCATGTCAGAAGGGCAACAGCCTGACCCTGGCCACACTCTCTCTGCTGCCCAGGCTTGGCCCTGTCCAAACCACCCGGCCCGACACACCTTCTTGAAGCACAGGTGGGATTCATCAGCCCCTCTGGGAAAACCCTCAATGCTCCCCAGAACAAGAGTAAGATATAGTAAGGTGAGAGAAAACCCAATCAAACTGCCTCCAGGTTGACACTGCAATCACTGAGGGGGAGAAAAGGTAGGAAGGATGAAACCTCACCAACATCCCAGACAAACGCTGTGGGGGAGGGGCCTTGAGGGTAGGGTGGGGGTGGGGGTGCCATTACCTGGTGGGATCTTGCAGACGGTGGCCGGGTGCCAGCCATAGCGCTGGTTACAGTTGGGAGACTGGACAAAAATGGCGCTGTCGCTGAGGCACTCTGCAAAGACCTCACCTCCGATGTAGTAGAGCCGCACACCTCTCCCTAGAGAGATTCAGGTTAGGCTGGGCCAGGGTGACCTGGCCTACACACGATGGTCCTGAGACCAGCTGAGGCTAGCAAAGACAGGCCGAGGGGCAGCGGATGTTCCAGGTGACAGGTACTTTGCCAGCTTCACCAGGCCAACAGGACCCAGAGCCCACGCTTAAGACCCAGAATAAAATGATAGAGGCAAGGCTGGGTTCCCAAAGCTGGGGAAGCAGATGACAAGAGAAAAGATCACGGGGTCAATCTCAGTGCCAGCCTCTGCCACTGACTAGCCATGGGCCTCAGTCAAGTTAAAAAACACTCACTGCTGTCGAGTCAATTCTGACTCATAGCGACCCTAAAGGACAGAGCAGAACTGCCCCATAGGGTTTCCAAGGCTGTAATCTTTACAGAAGCATCTTTTGCCTACGGAGTATGGCTAGTGAATTTGAACACCAACCTTGGGAGAAGCTGCTGAGTGCTTAACCACTGTGCAACCAGGGCTCCTTCAGTCAAGTTACTCAACCTCTAAGCCTCAGTTTTCTGAGGTGTAAAATGGAGAGAATAATACAGTGAAACCTGTGAAAGCTGGAACTCAATGGGACTGCCTTGTTGTTCCAGGTCTCCCAAGATTTCCGCCTTTGACAGGGTGCAGTCTTACCACTTTTCTATCGCTTGTTTTAGTGGAAAATATTTGAGTTGTCCTTCTCTGACAGGTTTCTGCCTTACACAGGTTCCGGCTTTCACAAGTTTTACTGTAATACCTATCTCACAGGCTTGCTGAGACCCCCAACCTGCAGTGTTAGCAGTGGCGGCAGCAGGGAAGTGAGGAAGGTAGCAAGGCACAGAGAAAACGCAATCCAATCGCCTCCAGGCTGACAATGCTGCTGCTGCTGCTGCTGCTATTACTACTATTATTGTTGCTGCTGCTGCTGCTATTCCTACTACTGCTATTACTACCACTGCTGCTGCTATTCCTACTGCTGCTGCTGCTATTCCTACCACTGCTGCTGCTACT